TTGTGGCGAAGTTATGTACCAAAAACCAAACCCCTTATACTTTATGGCACTTGACCTGACCTCGGCGGTCACCGGTTGGTGTAAGACCTTGAAATCGGATACCAGTCGCTGTGGTTTGTAAAGACGCACACGCTGGCTTTTTCCGCAATGTTCTACCCAGACATGTGCATGGATCCGAGTGATGGATCTATGATCTCAGTGGATCTTGAAGCAAAGTACAGGTTGGGATCTTTGATCCCACCGGATCCGGCGTGAAAAATACATTTTGGATCTATGATCTCATATGATCTGACGATAAATTAAGAACATGGATCTATGATCTGAGTGGATCCCACCATGCACCACATTTGAAACCATGTTTTAAAGGGTTTCTATGCCAATAAGTGACACAAAACTATGGATTGTGACGTGCTATCACATAAATCACTAAAACAGAACGTTTGTGAGTTGAAACAAGCGCTTTTTGGGATATACCTATGTGTTGACAAAAAATAAGTGAAGATCTATGATCTCACTGTATCTCCAGCAAAAAATGAGACTCGGATCTGTGATCCCTACGGATCTCTCGATAAATTACAGAGCTCGTCGGATCCGAGATCAGGATCCGTGGGATCAGATCCCAGATCCATTTTCTCGGATCCATGCACATGTCTGGTTCTACCTCAATTAGGAGCGAAATGGCTAAGGAGGGGGTCTTATCTACCCCCTCTTTACCGTGTTCGCGAACAGTTCATGGACGTTCGTGAACTGTTCGTTGTTTGCTTACCAAAATTTGACCAATGACGTCACTTGTTCGTGAACACATTTGTTCGTAAACAGTTTGTTTATGTTTGTTTATTTGAAAAAATTAAACAAACACCAAACCCAGATACCTATATTTTTATCTTGCCTGAAACGATCCCATGTGCGTTCCAAAGGCTTTGCGTTGCGCCAAATATGCATTAAAAAATAACATGCAGATTTAAAAAGCAGGTTCTGGGGGCATTCACCGTCTTCTGCTTCTTTAGCTGTAAACGTTCGTCCAAAACAGAAAAATGACCGATTTTCGACAAATCTAATTTCGAGTGCAGTATCGTCAATCAAACAGGTGCAGTGCATGACGTTGAGCCATGCAGCCTTAACTCTGCCTCCGGAGTCGGAGTCGGTAAGATTTGGGCGACTCCGACTCCGACTTCGACTCCGGGCAGAACTGTCGACTCCAACCGACTCCAACTCCGACTCCGATTCCGACTCCGCAGCCCTGGTGGGTGCAGCTGCACCCACTGCACCAATGGTTCCTACGCTTGTCACCGATCATTGAAAGCTCTAATTAGCCATAGGTAGGGTAGGTAGGTACTAGGTAGGTGCCCTTGTGTCGGGAGTGAGACTCGAGGACCGAGGAGGCTGAATTCCTGTCAAAATTACAAAAGTGGTGCTGCAGTCTGCACCGAAAGACATCTTCCAGCAATGCAATGAACTAGCCCCCCCCCCCCAAAAAAAAAGAAAAATAGGAACGTAGTATAATAGTTAGGTACCTACTAATGTTCGAATTTGGATGCGCCACTGTGCTCGTCAGTCGTTTTATTTTTCTCTCTCTCTTTTTCTATTTTCTTTATTAACTCCAATCTCCATTCCCAAATAGTATAGTAGATATAGATTTACCGGTCAATAATAGCTAATTTTATTATGGAGTTAGTGCCTGCGGGCAAATATTAAAGGGTTTGGTGAATTTCCTTAAACTGGGTTACTAAGTGGCATTTCATCAACTTAGTGAATGTTCAGTAATTTAGTGACGACTGAGACGCTCTGACTGGCCTCGAAATGAGAACCGCGCGCGTCCGCCAGGTCCGCATTTCGAGGCCGCTGTTATTCACATCCGCATATTTACGTCTGGACAACGAGTTGCGGGGAAAAGTGCTGATTGTGTTGCAGTTTTAGGAGCCGGTGATTAGGCTGGATTTTTTGGTTACTTTTTCGTTCCGATTCATGTATTTCATAGTGTTTGGCTTTTGAATATTTTAGTTCTTTCAGATAAATATTACTTGCCTTACAACTTTTGTAAAAACGTTTCATTTTTTTGTAAGCCGACGTTCAGAGTCCTAAAAATACATCCAGCACTACAATCATTGTAAACAAACAAATGGAGCACACAACTTGGCTCTGTTCCAAGGCCATTTTTTAGTTTATCTGGTGGTTTTCTTGCTCTTGTACGTCGTTTTGTTGGATGTTTTGAATCCCTTAAGATTGACTTATATCATATTTAAGAAGCATGTTGACTGAAAACAATCTGAAGTATCCAGGAGGCTGACAGAGGTCCTGACTACTGAGCAATATCAATATCAAGTTGAACAAGTTATGAAATTTTGATTGATAAACGTAAGTTGATCGGGCTCATATATCAGCAAGGAAAAGTAAAATTAAAAGAGCTTATTGTCCAAAAACAAGCTATAATATTGCAGACCTTGGAGCAATACTGAAGGGCACGCTGAGCAGGATCATGCCAGAAAATGTTGACTGATGAGCGCATATTGATGTATTGGTATGAATATTGAATGATAACTTACAACAGCAAGATAAATTAGTGCTAACTATCAAGTTAAAATCTAGAATGAATGGACTTGGGCAGTTTTACTATGCTTAGTTGCTATGCAGATTGTAATGTGCATCAGGTACTCAGTGTCTGGCAAATGAAACATGCGATCATTCCATTGCTACTGGCCAGGAGAAAGCTTGGATCACTAAATCCACTTTATGTTGATTTTGATGTTAATCATCATCACTGTATTTCTTTAAAGGGACCCTCCCACCTTCAAAAAAGTTAATGAATTGGCATGAAAGTGATGTCGCTCGGTTCAGAAAGAGCAAAAACGAATATCTACCAAATTTCATCGAAAAATATTCACCGGTTTTCAAGATATTAGACTTTTACTTTTGTTTACTTTTTGGGATCTCTGCTGTTCCTAGCGACTTTATTTGAAAGTGCGGCATTTGTTGCGCGCAAAGCAGCATATACCACCGCGTGCTACCAAACGTTTTAGTAAAAGATTTAAAATGGTTAGATCTCCGCTGACGTCACAAATTCTAAGGGGGCATACCAATGCATTAGCCCCTTAGAATCCGAAAACTGCAAGTTTGAAATTCGATATCTCCGAATTAAAGCATTTTTCGATGTTGTGAGTGCCCAAACCGGTATTTTCAGGCCATGGCCACCAATTTGGCTATCTCAACTCAAATCTAATGTTAAGGTGGGAGGGTCCCTTTAAAAAAGGATTGTAGTAAAATTGTCAATGTGACAATCCATGCAACGATGTGATCATATTATGTGTTCCTAGTCATTCGTGATAGTCTAGTCATTATTGGTCCAATATACAATTGCAAAGCTCTCAGTCTCAGCATTTCTTCCTGTGGATGGCCAGCAGTGACTCAGAGCTTAGAAGTATTAGTTTTCTTCACAGGGCTGGGATAAAAAGTACTGAGGGTAATCTTCCACCAATGAACTCTACTTTGACATGGTATGAGATGTAGGCACAAGTAGGTAGGTGCTCAGTTCCTATAGTCAGTAGTTGTGTATGTTTAGTTGGGTTAGATTAGATCAGATTGTTAGTTTTTTAAATTGCCAAATGTCCATAAAAATGTGACCTGAGCAATGAGCATACCTGAACCTGACTAACCTGACAGCTGACCTAACCTCAATCATCACACATATTTGCAGCCTACCCAAGACCTGCATGGCAGTAGCACCCAGTTATAGGTAGGTACTCACCCTAACTCAATCTTACCTGCTAACCTTCAACTTGCCAAAAGTTAGCTCACATTGCCAAGCTGTGTCCAGGGAAACAGTCAGAAACAGAGGAACTGGCTCATTGGGTGGCTGGTGTGAGTCTGTGCATTTAAAGTGTTTCTTCTCTGAAGCTGCTCTGCACTGCTGTATGTCATGTTAGATGCTCAGAAAATGTGGGAAATGATTACTAAGCTACTTTAGTGCTTTGTTATAATGCTCGAGACATGAACAAGTACAGATCCTGCAGGGTACAGCTATGAGTTAGGTGCTAGGTGAGTAGAGTATGTTATGTGAATGTGCTGTTCCCTGTTTGACCGTAAGTATACAAACAAGCACAGGGTCACAGTTATATTCAATCTCCACATAAACATACAACAAAAACGGCCATATAGCCTAACTCCGAACACACCACAGATTACTTAAGCCTTTGAAGGCACAAAAATGTTTTGATTAACAGGACAGGTTTACAATATATCCTCTGTCCTTGGGGGATCTTGCTGCCAAGTTGAGGTATGATGACTGAATTTCAGGATTGATCAACCTTTTCTTAGCCACTGCTTATATATGAGAAAGACCAAATGCTTGTTTGTTTTGATTTACAGGACATGTATACAATATATCCTCTGTCCTTGGGGGATCTTGCTGCCAAGTTGAGGTACGATGACTGAATTTCAGGATTGATCAACATTTTCTTAGCCACTGCTTATAAACGAGAAAGACCAAATGCTTGTTTGTAAACTGCGTTGAAAATATAATGATGAATGATCCACCTTCAATTCTGACATGAAGGCACAAATGAAATAGTTCCCTCTCCTTTAGGAATACACAAAGCAAAATAAAGCAAATTTTAAAGCAAATTTTAGTGGATGGACAAGAGCAATTAGCATAGCTTTCCCTCAAGTTAACTTCTGGCCAAGGCCATATATAGTCTTCTGGCACTGTTGATGAATTACACTGACGATTATTCGCTTCATATTTTGTAACAAACGCGCTAAAACTGCAATATAACAGCACTATATGCTTCTTGACAAAATGCAATAGTATTAAAAATTTAGCCCTGATGGCATTCATTCTTGGTGGAAACGTAATTACAAAATATTTTGTAGTAACTATTAAATTCCGGCCGAAAACAGTGCACGGTTTAAAAAAGAATCATTCCAATGACGGTCCATTCTTGCGGTCCTGAAATCGCCACTATTTTCGGCCTCTCCAACGCAACTCGTTGTCCAGACGTAAATATGCTTCACATCCGCATCGATCCCCAGGTGGCGCGGTCAGGGTTAGCTGTCTCGTAATACAATGAAAAGTTGCTGGCGATTGAAGTTATGAACATCAGTTTGATATATTTAAGGTAATGAAACAAAAAGTAGCATATGTGTTTGCCTCTTTTTGCTTGAATACACAAAGTTTTCCTCAAACTTCCTTTGTTCTCGCCGACCCCACGCTGGCTCCTGAGCGCGCCTCTGCCGCGGGCCGGCTGCGCGGCGGCGGCGGCGTCGCCTTTCTCGTCCGTGAGTGGTGAGCGGGAGCGTGCGTCCACCAACCAGCCGCCGAGCAGCGCCCAGCCGAGCTGTCCATTCAGGAGTGAGGATTTCGGCGGCCACACCAATCGGAGCTGCATTGCCGCCTTCCTGACTGGTAAGCAACTTTTGATAGGCTCATTAGCTCTTTAGCCGATATAATTTCTGGCGTCATTGGCTGCGCCAGGGCCGCGGCGGCGTGGGAGCTTCGACTCGGCGCAAATCAGCTCGGGGAGCCGTTGGAGCATTTGAAATGGACTTGAAGTGTGGGAAATGAAAAAGGGCGAGCCCAAATGAGCTGGGGCTCTGGTACGGTGGTGAATGCGGACCGTGCATGTTGTTTCTCACTGCTGAGGAGATGTGATTCACAGAGACGAGATTCTTGTGTAAGATTCGAACAAGTTTATGTAATGCGGTGGCTTGTTAGATTAGGTACAGACGTTGAATTATTTGATTGCAAATTGCAATTGATTTTAAGTAACTGTGAATACGATTATGTCATGAGTGCAATGCACGCATCGGTTTTTCCCCATTTTCCCTGAGGGTTTGTGAGTTGTGACTGAGGGTTCAAACAGGGTGTGAGTGTGATATGTTGGAGCGCGTGAGCTGCATGCGAAGCACCGGCATTCAGAAGCCGGGAAAAAGCAGCTGACAATGAAATTGACTTGCAGCCATTTTTGACATCTACAAATTTTCTCAATATACCCAGTGAACAATGTGGCAACAGAAAAAGTATTTTTATGTGATAGAGATTGCCTCATGATTTTAATTGCTGGGCTGTCTCCCATTGCTGGCTGACACGACATGGTAGACAATTTATTCCTCTATAAAAATTATTTAGTTGCAATGGAGACAGAGCAGTGTCTTTTGGTATGCAGATGTTCGCTAAATAGCCTCGAGCTTCCCAGCGCTGCCCCACTCCGTCGCCGTTCAAGGTCATTGGCAGGAGCACAATCTTCAAGGACTGCTATTTTCCGGCTCTTTCCACGGTAAATAGCCCGTGGACTCCCTCGACCCTCATCATCACGTTTCATACCCGGGTGTTTGGGGCGAGGCGAGTCGGCGGCAGCTGCCCGGCGTGCCGGTTACCCACGAGGCACGAGCCGAGTTGTCCGCTCTTTGTTAGCGCTGCAACGGCCCCGGGGAGCGCTCGAATAGGGCTGGATGTGCCGGGGAGAGAGAAGGGACGGGGTCGCTCGAATTCGGACCGAGTTGGAGTGCGTGGTGTGTTATGGTGATAATGATGGTTTGTATTGTCAGTTTGAAAGCAACGGCATTGAGCCCGATTTTCGATGTGGTGTAAACATGCTCCCGTTCAGGCGCGGATACAAGGGGGGGCCATGGGGGCCATGGCCCCCCCCTTGGCCGATTTTTTTTCAAAAATAAAATAAAAAGTTAAAAAGTTAAAAAGCTGAAAAGGGGGCCTCCTGAAAATAAAGTGGCCGAAATCCGATGAGTTTTTTTTAACCTACCCACTTAGTTATTTCTTAGAAGACTAGCTGAGAAGACTTCTTTGTTAGAAGATTGGTAAAGCTTTTCATAACTTGGAGGTCTCTTATACTCACAGAGATGACCACTTTTACAGGGCCTCCTAACCTGCACAGAGGGCCTCCAAGCCTGCACAGATGTTGAGATGTTGCCTGAACAGCTAGATAAGCTCAATAGACGCAGTTTTTTTTGGGGGGGGGCCCAACAAGTGGAAGATGGGGCCTCCAACAGGTGGGATTATGGGGGGGGCCTCCTGGTTTCTAATGGCCCCTCCCTTGGAGATTTTCTGGATCCGCCCCTGCTCCCGTTGACAAATGCCAATTAGATTTTCACGAGAGTGCCTTATTATTTTTGAGCACCAAAAACACCAAACGGCATTCAGTTTATGCTCACGACATTCGCTATCTAGACGTATTGCAGAGCCAAAGTCCCGCAACAAACGCCGGTCGCCGTAAATACAGTCCATGCTTCGCCTGATATAAATACGGGGCTCAAGCACCGACGGCAACCGCCGCTTTCGCAGGACACCGACCGTCGCCGTTCGCCGTAAAGTTACCTATAGTACCTACCTAGTACCTACCTACCACATGTAAAGGGCAGACGTCTGCCCTTTAATGGGAGCGATTTCATGAAACATACGACACAAAAGTTGAAAAGTTCGGACATGTCGCTCTTTTCGAAGGAGTAAAATTGTGTCCGTCCAAGGCACTTTGTCCGAGTAGTTGCACGAATTTCATGCGTTAGCGGATGCAAGGGCCGTTTAGGGACATTTGCCTCTTCCGCAGCGTCGGCAATTTATGAATTTTTCTCTTCTTTTGTCATTATATGTGAAGGAAACCAAAGAATATGAAATGAAGAATATTATAATATAAAGAATATAAATAATATTATATGAAAAGGAAACCAAAGAATCTTGGTTTTAAAGTGTTTAACCCTCGCCCATGTAGGGGGGGAGGGGTTGGTGCAACCCCCCGAGGTTTTTCTTAGCTACACGCCGAACCGTTTCAGATAGCCTGCTCAAATTTTCAGTACCCTATGGGGCATCCTTTGCGCAACTTTTGGTATTTTTTTGTCAAGGTCATGTCAGGTCACGGAGTTATGACGTCATAAAGGGAACAACTTCCGGCCAGATTTACGCTAAATTGGAGATTGCTTCACATTGGTATAAATGCCGACCGACCTGACACACTGATGGGTTGTTTTAGAATCACAACTGGCTGATTTGACATTGGCACAATGTCCGTTGACATTTTGAAGGTTACTAAAGGTCAAGGTAAGGTCAGTGACCTCGGTTGACCTGTAATGACTTCTTGCACTTGTATGTCTTTTCGGGGTATTTTGATGCCCTGAATTCGAATTTGCTATCCATTTCAGGCATCGTCGGTTGTTTCTTGTAGTTCATTTTGGGTCAGGGTCGGGTCAGTGACGTCACACGCACGCCTGACGTGACCCAATGCCCAAATGACCTTGCAGACTTCCGATGCTCCCAACGCATCATTTTTAGAGTTATGACATCGAAATACACACCAAACGATAGAGAATTGATCAAGGATCACGATAGTGAATGAAGGTTTCAAGTCGATATCTCTTACCGTTTTGCCGCAATCGGCGCGGAACTATGAAAAAGTTAGATTTTTCCGAAAATTTGACCTTTGACCGGTCATAAGTAGGTCAAATGTTGACCTAGGACCAAAAAATATACCACCAATCGCGAGATCTCGTTGAGAGTAATCCGTTGGTCTTTTTTGCTAAGCTCTACGACGCTCCGTTTTCAAACGCCAGGGGGGGTCGCACCAACCCCCCCTGCATGGGCGAAGGTGGCAAAACACCGTTTACGGGCGAGGGTTAAGATTTGTTTTGAACGTCTCAGCCGCTCACAAGGAAACGAACTCATAGGTTTTGGGGGACAGCGGCTTGGGATGATTGTAGGTCTTGTTGAGAGAGTATACAGTGTGTCCCATAATTGACCGAACAGTTTGTCAGCGTATCTATAAGATCAGGAAAGAAAACAATTGCAGTTTTTCTTATTATCATCTGATATAGTGAACTAGAGCAGCTTGGAAATAACACATGTAACACGCTAGTTACAAAATTTAACGACAATTGTGGATAAATGCAAGTCAATCCTCGCTTGCGCTTCGGTTGTTTTACGGGTCTCCCGAAACTGGTTGTAAGCTGGGCCGGTTATCATTGGCCTCTTGCTGAAGGATATTTACAGATGAATTCGATTCAATTTATGTCTTAACTGGTCCGAGGCCACTGGCCATGAGACACTCTCTCTAAAAAAAACTCTGGCTGCACCACCGTTGCGTTGTTCTTGTCATCGGAAGTGGAGAACCTCCATGCCGGAACGTGGCGCGACCTTTAGCTTCTAGCATAGGTATTTGGTTTCCGAAACAAACCCGTTCATGGCCATTGGCTTCACAGCGTTTAGTTTTGTAATGTAATGCTAGAATATTAGCACAGTGGTACTCTCTGTCAGCACTCAGCAGTCGTGTTTGGAGTATCACACGAAGGTGAATGATTGCACTGTGGCTCAAAATGTCTCACACTTTGATTTTCGACGGGAGCCTGGCCGTCTCTGCTGTTGGGGCGTTGTCGCTATCTGACTTCCACACACGACTGCTTTTGGCGGTTCAAAGGGTTAATTGGATATTGGATATACGAATACCTTAATTGGATACTCATAAGACCACAAAATGTGTCTCTGTTCATTTTTTTGTTGAATATGATATCATTTTCGCCAACTTGCAGTGATTTGCGCGGCTTTTTCGTTACTATTGGATTATTTTTCATTCCGGAGGCCCAAATCCCAAAATTTTGTCGAAGACCGTGGTGAAAAATGGACTGATGTTTGGATACTAGCCCTATACCGTCGTTTAGCCTAGCTTACATGTGGATCGGTGACGTTTGCTGATCATGTCATGGCAACCACTCGCTTGGCTACTGGTGCAGTGCACGCTCCGTTTTTGCCCTGCCCAGGCTTGTCAACCATGTTATCTCTTGCTCTCTCTGGCTTCGCTCGCTGATACCGGGAGTTCCTAAATAAACAGTCGAATTATTTTTGCCTCTAGTGGCGTCAACTAACAAAACCACAACAACCAAATTGCACGTGATGATAGCACGTGCAATGCCATTTTATTTCATACCAAAATCAATCACTTTCTATCATGCAGCCGTATAGTACAGACATAAAAACAAAAATAGTACATTTCTATTTTGAGACAGAGTCAGGCGCGGATACAAGGGGGGGGGCCATGGGGGCCATGGCCCCCCCCCCTTGGCCGATTTTTTTCAAAAATAAAATAAAAAGTTAAAAAGTTAAAAAGCTGAAAAGGGGGCCTCCTGAAAATAAAGTGGCCGAAATCCGATGAGTTTTTTTTTTAACCTACCCACTTAGTTATTTCTTAGAAGACTAGCTGAGAAGACTTCTTTGTTAGAAGATTGGTAAAGCTTTTCATAACTTGGAGGTCTCTTATACTCACAGAGATGACCACTTTTACAGGGCCTCCTAACCTGCACAGAGGGCCTCCAAGCCTGCACAGATGTTGAGATGTTGCCTGAACAGCTAGATAAGCTCAATAGACGCAGTTTTTTTTTGGGGGGGGGCCCAACAAGTGGGAAGATGGGGCCTCCAACAGGTGGGATTATGGGGGGGGGGGGGGGCCTCCTGGTTTCTAATGGCCCCTCCCTTGGAGATTTTCTGGATCCGCCCCTGGACAGAGTCAATCGTTGCAACACAACGTAAGCTACGCCGACACTTAAAAGGGACCCTAGTGCCATCAAGGACCGTCATTTTAAGTATAGTTGAGAAGTTTTTGGCAAGAGGTAGTGTGGAGAACGTAAAAAGGGTAAATGTGGCCGAAAAAGAACCAAGAGGACGCCTCTAAACGCCCAAAAGGCACGAGAAGCCCTCCAGAGGAGCCCACAAAAGTCGCTCAGACGGCTGGGCCAGGAACTGGGCTGTAGCAAAACCACCGCTCACCGTTTGGCCAGAAACGACGTTCAGCTGTTCCCGTATAAGGTCTCCGTTCACCAAGCACTGTCGAAAGTCGACAAACAGTCACGGCTTCTTTACAGCGGCTGGTTTTTCTAGAAATTGCGAGCAGGACAATGAGTTCCTTCACCGAATCTGGTTCAGCGACGAGGCCCATTTTCATATGGATGGCCGCGTGAACTCCCAGAATTTTCGATTCTGGTCGACGGAGCCACCCGATTTGGTCGCGGAAGCCCCTCTGCACAGTGTGAAGTGCACAGCCTGGTGTGCAATGAGCAGCAGTGGCATCATCGGACCTTTCTGGTTTGAGAACGACGCTGGGGAGTCTGTCACCGTCAACGCTCAGCGCTACCGGCAAGTCCTAGCCAAGTTCTGGACTGCGCTGAACAGGCGGCTGGGTGGAGACAGGCAGCTGTTGGACCAACAATGGTTCCAACAAGACGGAGCCTCGGCGCACACGGCCGTTGCGACTCGAGAATGGCTGCGGAACCGATTCGGTTCGCGGGTTATCCCCCGCAGAGAGGTGCGGACCTGGCCCCCGCACTCTCCGGATCTGACCCCACTTGACTTCTTTCTCTGGGGTCACCTGAAGTCACAGGTCTACAAAAGCAACCCCAGAACCACAGATGACCTCAAGAGGGCCGTGTCGTCCGCGGTACGCCGAGTGCGGCCGGAGATCTGCCGGGCTGCGGTGAATCCGCTCGGCGACGCGCAGAGCTGTGTGTGGAGCGAGAGGGGGCTCATCTGGAACACGTCCTCTGTGGCTGCAAATGAAAAGACAGCAAAAAGAAGATGGTATCACGTGAAATGGCATCGACTATTGTGTACGTTAGAAAGTGATTCGTTTTTGTCATGCCTTCCATGCTGATAATATACAGCTTTTAAATACGACTGTTTATTTAGGAACTCCCGGTATAACTGCGCTTTGCTCACGTCTACCTGCTTGCAGATGAGCTGCTGGATTTTTCCAGCAAGAACCATGCCGAAAGTTCGTTTACAAAGTTCGGAACTGGATTTCATTCACCATGATTGCCTTTTGGTGGCTTAGGCTAAAAACGGGAAGGGACTACTCTTCGCTGACTCAGGATAATAATTGACTCAAGTCGTGACTGGTCACCAAAAGCACACAATCTCCAAGCTCGATACAGTAGCGGCGGAACACCTTCAATTAAGGGGGGGGGGCGGCACTGCCGACATTTGGTCCCATTCTTTCCTTGCAACGCCCATAGGGCTAATGTTAAAATGCCAAAATCAAAGGTGGCACGGTACCCCGGTGCCCTCCCCGTTTCGCCGCCTATGGCTCGATAGGTGAAGGATGTGTTGTAAAATTATGATGCTCTAATCTCATTAGAATCTAGCACAATCGTGCTTTTGGGAATACTACGTGATGGGCGCAAAATGACCTTTGTAGTAGTCGGCGCGCCCTAAAGCCCCAATTAACAAACAAATCGTGCTTTTGAAATGTTCGGTCATTTCTGGGATACCCTGTATATCCTCTCAAGGGGCGTCCAATACCCACCCCGGGGCTCTCTGGCTCCGCCAGTGAACCCATCCGTCGCGTGTTGGCGAATGGTGAATTCACCCCGGTATTTGCTCTCGTAGGTGATCACATTTAAATTTGTTACCTTCGGTCGTGCCAACGCGAACATATTTTTCGGCTCTGCTAACTTAACCCGGCAGGCGGTGGGCCTACCAGCCACCTTCCGCGCGGTGGGGGGGGGGGGCATTTTTTGCCCCCCCCCCGTATCTCCGAAACTACTGGACGGATCCGGAAAATTCAAACATCGTTCGATAGCCCTGTCAAATTTGTCGAAGGAAACAAAATTTCATTGACCTCGGGGTCACCGATGACGTCACAGGTCAGGTCAAAGATAAAATGTTTCACCGTTCACGGGGCTTCTAGGGAAAGCGCTATAACACCGAGTAAAACGCATAAATCAGCGATAAGGCGTCAGTTGTCTAGTACATATGTTGCTATTAGAGGTCACTGGTCATACCAGGTCAGGTCACAGGTCAGGTCACCAAAGGTCACCATTACCAAGGGTCACCACATGAGCCCAACTTTACTAAGATTATGCGATGCATGTTTTATGGCCAGTTTTTCATTTCCAACTCAATGGTGTTGGTTATAAGACCATCAGGTACGGTTTAGGTCACTTTCTGGTGGAGTCAGGTCAAGGTCAGGTAAAAAAAGGTCAAATTTCAAAGTTGATATTTTTGCATAAAATGGGTATCGGTTCGATGCAGCTTGTCACGGGGAGTCTAATGGTGGTCTTTGTTTTGCGCTACGAGGTCTAGAATTGCTAAAAATTGAGTTTGAAAATTTGACGTCAGCAATTTTGAACAGTTTTTTCGCTATAACTTGGCCAAAAAAAGATATCGATCTCAAATTTGGTATGTAGATAGAAGGCGGTAGGGACTATCACATATATTCCGGTTTTTTCGAAATTCAAAAAAAACTTTTTTGATTTTCTGGCTATTATAACCAAAAAATCTATTTTTTGATTTCGGGGGGTCAAAATCCAAAAAATTCGAAAAACCGAAATAGCAGTTTTGTAGCCCTTTTGGTTTCACACCTCTTATGTCTGAAACATTTTTCTGTATCTCTAAAGCTGTAGGCCTGACAGCTCTTCCCGCGAAACCTTTTTTTGGGTCGAAAATGGCAAAAATGACGTCACTCTGACGTCATTAGCGGCCAACCTATCATAGCCTTTGGAAAAAATTTTGGTCACCATGTGCGCTAGCTGCTCCCGGGAGGGTACTGAAAGTTTGGTGACGCATGGCGCAGCGGTTCTCGAGATATATTGGAAAAACTAAGGGGGGGGGGGCAAAAAATGCCCCCCCCACCCCCTGGAAGGTTAATACGATGACGCTCATTGTTGTGCAGCCTGAAGCAAACACTTCCTCATGAAAGTTGTTTAGTTTGCTGTCTATTTTTAGAAAAAAAATGACAAATTTTCGTCGATTTCGGGTGCTGAGAGAAGGCATTTCCCCAAATCCCCCTCCACTGGATCCGCCAGTGTTAGTGAGATAGTATAAACAACAAAATAGAAAGTAAAAAATAGCATTTGCTCAGAAATACCCAACATCGAGTTGATATCGGTTTCTTATTGGTTAACCAGAGTTGGTTGGTATTCGATTGACATCAATTCTTCTTCGAAATTTAGGGACTACGTTTTATGTCTTCGGCCTGGCCAGGAGATAGAGCTTTGCAAAACTTAGTGCTACGCACTGACCGAGGTAATTGATGAATGCTACCCGTCATGCCGATGCCGACGGTTTCCGTTCTCGTTTCGTATAACCCTACCTTTGTCCATTTTCTTTAGGAGCACGGGAGGAACTCCTGAAGCCTTGCCGACCGGGCGAAGAGCCTGCTGAGACCCGACTGTTCCCCACCGACCGCACCTGCACACACACCGACCCCCTACCATGGACGGGGACGGCGCGGATTTCATCGGCGACAGCAAGACCTACATGCTGGAGGACTCCGGCGACCCTGGTGAGTGCGCCTGTCCAGTACACTGTGCACTTTGACAACTGTTGGCGAGTGTTGCGTTTGTGCTGTCCATGACGCCATGAGTTAGTATGTGGTGTCAGCTGGAGGCTCGGCCACCTGTGGTCACAAAGTTCCCCGTTGCTGGCGCGTTTGGGAAACGAATACGCATTTGCACACATGTTGTGCTGTCTGGTATTTAATTTGCCCATTTTCAGAGAACCTTAGGGACAGACTGTTGCAGTATGGTCCAACATTGCGTGACTTGACTGCCTCCAATGATTAAAGAATTTACACAACGGTGTTACGTAATATACCGGCTACTGCCTGATCCGTGCCATGAGTACCCTGGCGCCTCATAGACGTGGTCTTATCTTTGACTGATACCGTTCTGATGCTACATAGGCTAGTTGGATTGCAGCATCGTCAAGTGTGCCTTTTTATTCTTTTTACTGAGTGTCTAATGATTACGAGTAAATTCCTCTGGCATGTCGCTGGAGAATGTTATGTGATGTGGCTTGCCGTATTTCGCTCGACGCCATTTGATGTGACGTGACCTGGCGATGTGACATATGGTAACGTCACGTAACGTCACGTTGTGTGATGTCACACTGTTGACGTGGGGTGGCGTTATGTGCTTCAGACAGCGGGGACGGAGGCTCCGGTGGTAACAAATCGGGAGAGCCCAGCAACATTCTGCGCGAGCAGGACCGGTTTCTGCCGATCGCAAACGTGGCGCGCATCATGAAACGCGGCATCCCGCCGAACGGAAAGGTAGGTGGGGGAGGTGGTGGCCGGTGGGGTGGTGGGTGTTTTTAACACGCGCACTGCAGGGGAGGGGGGTGTTTACAACCCCCCCCCTCTGGTTTTTTCGCTGTAACTCAAAAACCAGTGAAGCTACGACTTTGAAACTTTGTATAGCTGTTCATCAAACAATTTTACATCACCTCTGAAAACATTAGTGTTAGGTCATGCAAGGTCAGGTCACCAGGTCACGATAAGTGACCTCACCTCATAAAAAGTTTGACGCTGTGCTACATCCACACCATTTGACTGAATGCTATGAAACTTTGAGAAACATATTAGGAGACCATAAGGAATATTTTGTATATTTCGAAATTTTTATTTCTGTGACCTTAGGTCAGGTCACTTTTTGGGGCCCGGCATGCAATTTCGGACATAACTCGAGAAGTATGGGACATAGAAACGTCATTCTTTCACCATCCCGCTTATTTTATCAAGACGCGTCGATCAAGATGCAACTTGACCTAGTTTGGTCAATGTTTGACCTAACATGACCTCGATCTCAGGTCACCTGAGGTCACCAACGGTTTTTCTTCAATAATTTTTAATTGAATAGAGATAGAGACTCCGTTCGACGTTTATCGTGTTTGTCTCGTCAATGCGGATCGAATGATATGCAACATGACGTATTTCGGTCAGGTCATGACCTTGACCTGAGATCAACTTTTGAACTTGACCTTTCGAGGTCATATTATAAACCATTCGATGCGCCTTGACGAGCAAAGAACGATGGTGTGTGAATTATTTCTCTATCTCTTTGGGAAGAAAAGTTATTGCAGAAAAAGCATTTCCGGAAAATTTGCAATATTGATCTGACATTACATGACCTCTATAGGCTGAACCGTTGACATTAGGTCAAATCTGAGGACAGTTAAGCGAAAGAGCGTTTCAACAGCTATCGAATGCTTTTTTCGCAACTTTCTAGCTCATCTAGTTCCCGAGATAAAGCGGGAAATATGTAGGGATGTCGAGATCGCTAAAAATCGCAACATTTTGAGTTTGGTGACCTCTGCTGACCTCGTTTTTGACCTGAACCAAAAATGATCTTTGTATTTCTTGTAGATCTCATCTCAACCTATCCAACGCCGTTTACCGCTTGTCGCTACGTTGCGCCGTTTTCGAGATCTCAGGGGGGGGGGGTTGTTGTTTTCAACCCCCCCCCCCTGCAGTTCGTGTTCGGCTCAGACCCGCTGCAGTGCGCGTGAAAGCCGACTTCTGTAAGAGGGGAAATGTCGTGTATGATGGCAACGTGACTCATGGTAACGCTATCATCGGATATCGACCACGGATTAAAGGCTGACTTGCACACATCGTTTATCATGCGGAGTGCAATATATGTATGAGTCACTCTGTTGCTGGTCTAGTAAATTACCTATTCTAGAAAATGTTTGATGGAAGTGGCATAAATTGCCAAACCAACGGGTTTATCAACTCTTATTTTGCACAACTCTTCAGCAGGGTTGTGCTCGACTCAAAAAAATTTGCCGACTCGACTCATCATTCAACTACAGAAAGCCCTGACTCAACTCTGACTCAAACAAGGAGCTGATTTTTTCCCGTGACTCGACTCATGACTCAAGCGGCTCAATGGAAATATGAGTCGACTCAAACTTGACTCAACTTTTTTGTTGAGTCAAGTGAGTTGACTCAAAATTGACTCAGATAAAAAAGTTGTTGAGTGGGGGAGGGGGTGAAAAAATCCGGTACCAGGGCCAAGACTAAGTTGTTAAGCGGAGAAAGCTTATATATATATATATATATATATATATATATATATATATATATATATATATATATATATATATATATATATATATATATATATATATCTTACAGACCGTATGAAAACCCAGGCCGTTTGAAAACGGCCTAAAAAAGCCGGCCGTTTGCAAACCGCCTGAAATATCAGGCCGTATGAAAACGGCCTAGGCAGTTTGAAACGGCCTAGACAGTTTGAAAACGGCCTAGTCGGTTTTCAAACGGTCTGGCGAAGTAGGTACAACAGCCTCTGAAAATTGAACTTAAAGGATCCAGGCTGGTCGATGATCAGGTTGCATCCATGTGAATGCTTGCACATTCCATGCCGAATGACTCGTCTACATACGTCGAGCATTTTCTTACTGTGCTGATGCTCGGCCCGGCCGTTTTTCGACAATATTACTAATTATACAAGTTCACAGTCCGCCTGTGTACGGCCATCCAATTGATGGAGCCTGGTGAAGCCACTACTGGTGAGGTCTGGTGAAACGTATCACTACAAGACTCACCGATTATTTTGCGGCATAAAACGCCGGAGCGCGCAATGGACATCAGAGTTCACATCAGTGGCGCGGGAACCGGGGGGGGGGGGGCTAGCGGGGGCTGAGCCCCTCCAACTTTTCGGCTGGGGGGGGGGGGGCTCGTAATGTATTTGAGCCCCCCCCCCCCAGCTGGAGGAATCGAAATCGGAAATCTACCAACATAATTTCATAGGTTCATACATAGGCGCGGGAACCGGGGGAGGGGCAGTGGGGGAAGCTTGCTCCCACAGCTCTAGGGCCGTGGGGGCGGTGCCCCACAACTTTTCATGAGGTCAGGAACCGTTGGGGCAGCTTGTCCTCCCCAAATTAGGGGTTGTGGGTCACAAAGGAAGAAAGCATGTAAGTGAAAAATCCACCTCTTTCACTGGCTCGGCAACTCATTTGGCAGATTAAAACGTTTATTTCAGGTTGCAAAAACGGTAGTTTCTTCACTCAGCTGAGACGGAATACCTGACTCTTTTGCAAATATTTGCGTTTTTTTTTTTTTTTAAAGGCCAAGGTCTGAAAAATAAGTGGCCTAAAACCGGTGAGAAAACTAGATTTGGGGGTACCCTAGGTTGACCTCTTTTATGGTTCAGCCCCCCCCCCCCCAGTCTGGAAGAAGCTCCCGCGCCACTGGTTCACATAAGAGTCGTCACCGCGCCCGGTCGACCGCCGGCGGCTGGCCGGTGGCGTACGCCGGCAATACTTGACCATTGCGGTGGAAGGCGAAACTTTGAAGTCCGGGGGAAGCCCGCGGGTCGACCGGGCGCTATACGGGCCGGGTCTCAGTTCTGCTAATCTCTTCCTGACCAGACCTGCATTCGTCATCGGGAAAATCAGGGAGAATTTTCCGGAACTAGCGAGAATCATCGGGGATCACGAACGGTATCGCGATAACGAGACATGCTGAAGATAGGCGCTCAACAATAATTTTCCGACGGAGAATAACCGATTGGCAATATTTTTCCGGATGCCGAATGCACCTCAGGATTCCATGGTGCCATTGGTGCCATGTAATGTCATGAAACGGTCGTGCTTCAACAAACTCAACATTGTCCAGTTGTAACTTTATGCAGACCAGATTGTTTTTAAAATGCCTAGACCGTTTGCAAACGGCCTGGTGTCTGGAAAGTTGTCATACGGCCTAGACGGTTTGCAAACGGCCTGAAATTTCAGGCGGTTTGCATACAGCCTGGAATTTCAGCCCGTATTCAAACGGCCTGACTTTTCAGTCCGTTTGCATACTGACTGGGCTGTCCAGGCCGTTTGCAAACGGCCTGAATCGGGCCAGGCCGTTTGCAAACGGACTGAGTTTTCATACGGCCTGTAACATATATAGTTTCTAGAAACTTGAGTCAGCTGACTCCTAAATGTTTGACTCAACTCAATGTTAAAAGTTATTTTACTGACTCAACTCTGACTCAACTCAACACCTTAACCCGCGCCGGGCCGGTGCTCTGAGATTCCGGGCCGGGCCGCGGGGGTGTCTGAACCCCCCCCTTCTAACTCGGCTCCTGGGCCACGTAGCGACACGCGGTAAGCGGCAGTCGAAAGAACGTCAAAAATAAGGACGAAAACACTTCGGTCATTTTTTGGGTCAGGTCAAAGGTCAGGTCACCAGAGGTCACCAAAGGTAAAATGTTGACTATTTCAACATTTTGGAAACTGCCAACGGCTATCTCGGGAACCGATAGAGCTACAGCGCCGTAAAAAATCGCATTCGATAGCCCTTTTACAGACCTTTCCGAGTAATGTTCTCGGATTTGACCTCAGGTCAACGGTTTAGCCTCCAGAGGGCAAAAACTCTAAAAATAGTCGTTTTTACGAAAAACGTATTTTCGGCAATAACTTTTCACTCAAAAGAGCTATGACAGTACTTTTGCCAGTATCGTGTTCCTCTCGTCGAGACGCGTCGAATGAACTATAATTTGACCTTGAAAGGTCAACTTGAAAATTTGACCTCAGGTCAAGGTCATGACCTCACCGGAAAGGTCATGTTGCATATCAGTCGATCCGCAACGTCGAGCCGAACACATCTAAGGCGTTTTCAGCGCTCTAGCACGCCTCTATCAGAAGTTATCATCGAAAAACTGTTAGATTCTGTTCGTGACCTGAGATGACCTCGGGGACATACCGAGGGGTCACAGTTGCCATTTTCTGGTTCAGTGTGTCTATTTTACCTACATCCCGATGTTTGAGAGTGTCTAGAATAGCGTTCGTGCAAAACAGACGCTTTTCAATTTTCTCCCATTGACTTATAATGGAGAGGCCGCAAAATTGACCTGACCTTAGGTCACCGATATCAAAATTCCGAGATATACATTTTATAGATAGTGTTGCTCTAATCAATCGCTGAAAGTTTCAAGGCAATCGTTCAGTCGGTGTAGCTATGACGAGCATTCTTATTTTTTTCTGAGGTGAGGTCACTTGGCGTGACCTGGTGACCTGACCTAAGGTGACCTGGATCTGAAATTTTCACAACATGTGCGGAAAAGATGCATGAACAGGTGTGCCAAAAACGGCAGCGCTCCGCGCCGCCGTTTTTGAGATATCTGCGAAAAACCGCAAGGGGGGTGTTCAAACACCCCCCGGCCCGGCGCGGGTTAAAGGGACCCTCCCACCTTCAAAAAAGTTTATGAATTAGCATGAAAGTGATGTCGCTCGGTTCAGAAAGAGCGAAAACGAATATCTACCAAATTTCACCGAAAAATATTCACCGGTTTTCAAGATATTAGACTTTTACTTTTGTTTACTTTTTAGGGATCTCCGCTGTTTCCAGCGACTTTATTTTAGAAGTGCGGCGTTTGCGGCAGATGTTGCGCGCAAATAGCATATACCACCGCGTGCTACAAAACGTTTTAGTCAAACATTAAAACATCGTTAGATATTTGCGCTGACGTCACACATTCAGAGGGGTATTCCTCAGCATTAGCCCCTCTGAATCAAAATGCTGCAATTTTGAAATTCAATATTTCCGATTTAAGGCATTTCTCGATGTTGTGAGTGCCGAAACCGGTAATTGTGAGCCAGGGACCCCATTTTGGCTATCTCAACTCAAATCTAATGTTAAGGTGGGAGGGTCCCTTTAATATACCTGCCCGACTCAACTCTGACTCAACTCAACAGCTCAACATTTTCTCCGAATCGACTCAAATCTGACTCATTTGAGTCAGAGTTGAGTCAAATTTCTGACTCGACTCATTAGTCGAGCACAACCCTGCTCTTGAGACACAAATACAACTGAAAGTATCGATTATTTAGATCATAATCGCGACGCAATGCATCTTTTAACTCGTATTCTCTTCTGCCCTTCGTCAGATCGCCAAGGAGTCCCGGGAGTGTATGCAGGAGTGTGTCTCGGAGTTTGTGAGTTTTGTCACGAGCGAGGCCAGCGACCGGTGTCACCAGGAGAAGCGGAAAACCATCAACGGCGAGGACCTGCTGTTCGCCATGTCCGTGCTCGGCTTCGACAACTACGTCGAACCGCTGAAGCTCTTCCTGCAGAAATACAGAGAGGTGGGTGCTGTAATAATTCGGTAGTTTTCTAGGACTTGGGTTATCTGGAACGGGAGCCAAGACGTTGAAACGGATGTGCGGCCGGTTGAATCGATTTTGTTCTACTGTTCACTTATTCACTGCTCATGTCGATGTCCTCGTCGATAAGCTTACATTCTTGGAAACGTTTTCTGCGAATGTGATTTGATTTGACATTGATATGAGTCTCATAAACTGTGCTAAAGAAACTCTTGTTAAGTAGTTGGAAACAGGTATCGATTCTACTAAGAGCATGTCTTGCTAATGAGATTCACCCCACCTCTGTCTGTTTTCAGTCTATAAAAGGCGACAAGATGCCAGACCAGTTTGATGAAATTGAAGAACCCCAGTTCGGTAAGTGAATGTCTCTTGTGTTCCCACACCCGCTCGGTGACCTCGTATTGGTATGTTGTCCAGCAATGTACCGTTTTCCTCAGTCGCCCGGCCCGAGCCTGCCGGCGTGCTCACTGAACCGTGCTGCGCCGTTCTCCTTCGGCTGTCTTCGTCAAGTTGAAGTAACCTCACATAGTTCTATCCTATAGGTGGTAATAAACGCTTTTAAGCATCCATTTAATCACTTTGAGTTGATCTAAGACTTGCACCGTCCTATTCACTTACATGCAGCTTGGTTTCGGAATCAGTCTGAGTCAGCGTCGTCCCCAATGCAGTTAAACTGTGCAATGTGCAATTGTGCATAACCATTGCACATTGTCATTCTGTCATTCTCTGCGTCCCCTTGCACTCACACTATCTCTGCATTTGCCTCTACAGGCACCAACACCCTGGAGCCACTCAGCGAGGGTTCAGCAGGCGGAGCGACAGGCGGGATGATATACACCGCGTACGGGAATCAACAGTTCTAGAGCCGCCGACAGCGCCACCTGTCCACTGCAATCGCAGCTGTGCTTCTGCCAGCCGCCGCCAGGGTGTGCTGCTTGCCGGTGTGGCCGGCACGGAGACGAACGGACCGAACGAACTATGGTGCGCCGCGTGGTGGGTGCTGTGTCCATTGAAAGGTACCTGCGTTGCTTGTTTGTGAGACTCTCGTGAAGGGTTAGTTTGGCTTTAAAAGCCCGAGTCAGAGCCTGGACAGATTGGTGAGTGGACCGGCCAGCGGGCGACGAGAGCTGAGGACGGTGCAAAGCCGGCAGGACGTTTTTAGCTTAGTGTTTCCGCACACGCATCGCGTTGTTGATGTGCTAGCATGCCATTGTTACCATCCAGGAGGCGGTTTATTACCAAGTGATATTCGGGCGAAATTTTGAGTTCTCAAAGGCGAGGAACTCGTTTTATGATGAAAGAAACGGTCTTCGGTGCTACTCGTATTTTCTTGCAATGCATACCTATCAAACATTCGTTGAAACCAATTCAGAAAAGCGGAGCCCGTCATGCTTGTATGATTGCGTTCTGGAAGGGACATGTATCTTCCATCGGAACCTGTTAATACCTCTGTACATATGTGAATCGTTCTTGTTGGTTGTGTGAATAATTGTATTATTATGTCACATGTGGACACAGGTTTGAGAATGTCGACGAAAACAATTTGGTAAATATTTGACCGTGTTTCAGCGAGCAAAGGTGTTTCTCGATCGACTTGAATCTGAAGATGCTCTTGGATGTATGATGAAGCTCACGTGCGAATGAAACCGAAGATTGATGTTATAACTTATAAATACGAAGTAGGCCGGACGCAATTGTACATAATTTTGTACAAACCTTGCGATAAATTTACGATAGTTTATACGATAGTAAGTTAAAATACGATAAGTTAATACATCGAAAGTCAGAATCAAGCTGGTATTTCATAGGTTTCTCTGTCTAGTATGAGAAAGTACGAGTGGTATGAGTAGAGCCCTGCATTAGGGTTTTGGAGCAGTCAATAACATCATCGCAGCAAATTATATAACTGAAAACTGCGCTCTTTGCAAACCAGTGTGTTCAACTTCTTGCGTGATCAACTCCTGACAGTGCAATTAAACGGCATATCTGTAATTCAAAGGAACTTGTTTTTTCTCTAAGGTGCGTGAGCATGACAGAGTATAATTCGGGCTTTTCGTCCGGGAGTAGCTGCTTATTTTTCGCTTTTTTTTACTCATCGCGAGAAGTCAGTGGCCACTGGCCAGTGCGTTTTATACAAAATGAAGGACACCAAGGGCCTGGATGTGTGTCTCTATATATTTGCTGTGGAAGAATAACATGGCCAGACTGTTTTCTTCAGTGGATCAGTGGATCCAGTGGACCATGAGGATTCGGCGTTATACCTACGTTCGCCATTAGCTGGCGTTTGAAACAGTTTTGTCGCTTCGGTAGTGCTGTTCATTGGGGCACGGATAATCATCTTCCTCTACCCCAGTCGCGGAAACACGGGCTCACTCACAAGTCACTGGTTGGAGCACTGTATGTTGTGTGCGATGAAAGGACCGCACAAAACAAGCCATATCACGAACACGTTGAGGCTAGAGCTCACTGACCATACCATGCCGGTGGGGAAGTGGAGCTAAACACACCGGCTTTTAGGGTGTGTTCGCTGTCTCCTCGGACGAAGAAAATTCTATGTAGTCCGGTCAATCCCGTTCGATACCGGCAGCCAGGCCTCCGCCGAACTCGAACGGCATTGCTCGGACGACTTAATAATGTGAGCTGATTCGCGTGGGCTTGTCCCTAAGATAATTTTAATTTCAATTTTTAATTTTTATCGCACTTAAAAGTCTGTGCATTTCTCTCCATTAGAACTATCGACTACACCGTCAGTAATGGTGCGGGCATGCACGCAATAGATGTGGAATATAAAACCCGTACTACTAAGGGTACTTCCTATAAAATGCAATCCGGCATAAAAATGGCTAACAGACAATTACGTGACGAATATTACATACCAAACCAGATCATTATAAACGGCAGAAACATACACCACAGTACAGGTAACACTGGCCTTCCGACCCACGCAGTTAACTCGACCTCCGCTATAGTTCCACGTGGCGCACAGGTAAAAACCGGACCAATGCGCGGTGTCACCGCAGCGATTCAATCGCGCCCGGCTGATTGACACACCTGTCGGACTGGAATGGCATCGCGTGGCGCCCGGGCCCGGAACGGGAGACGGACCGGCGGAATTCATCACCCGATCTGTACCGCCGGATCGGGGCGATGTATGCAGCTGGTTATACGGCTCAATCACGTCACCAGACTTACATACAGTTGTGGTGGCGATTTTTGTCACGCCAGGTCAGTGGTCTTCGGTCTGCGAGTGGCCGTGTCCATTATTATATCGGCTAATAGTAAATCGGCTCCGAAAAAGCAGACTGGCGCTTAGTGTTCATTCTGCGTGTCTGACTGATTATTAGTCCAACAGAGTTGAAAGTTTGCTCCCTTGACCGCAATTCAATGACGCAGCAAGTCATCTATTGACCAACAACCTGACCCATTAATTTGACGGATGTCTCCCTTCTAGCCGTCTCTGGGTCGCACTCTCAGACGCGCACGGCACGGCAACATTGACCTATCCGTGACACCTCGACACCAACACACTACTGACAGCGACGGGGTCAGGTCGACGCGTCGATCACTTTGGCACGACGTCATCTGTGACAGCGTCGTTCGCGTTCCAGCACGGAGCACCTCGACGGCTGGGATGCTGAGGGGAAGCTGAGGGGCCGCGGGATGTAGATGACAGCCACCTGGTCAGGAGGCGAGTGACGGGGATTTCAGGCGACTGGTGATTTCAGAAATGGAACTGACCTCGTCTGCTTTCCCCCGTGGCGATTAGAATCCCATGGTAGCCCCAGCTCGACGTCCGTGGTCATAGCCCGAGTAGCCTCGCAACAATCGAACACCGTGGGTGTTCTGTTCAGCTAAAGAGGCACACCGACACCACCCTTCTGTCATTCCATAGACACCGCTAAAGAGCAAAAAATACAGCAGCAAAAACTCGTGACGGTATAATGAAAATATTTGAACACCTGTCCATCGGACGCTGCTGTGTGTGTTACGGGCGGTGGATTGGCACAGCGGGCTAGCAGCCCCTTTGATCGGGGCCGGGACGCAGTGGCGCACCCAAGGGGGGGGGGGCCTTGGGGCCCGGCCCCCCCCCGCTCGGTCATAATTAGGAGGCCCCCTGAGCACCGCTTAGGGTACTTTTACACTTGACTTTCCTGCCTAACCTACTATAATTCTGCACAAGATGCACTATCTGGGCAGAGGCCAGGAGGCCCCCTCTGGTAGGCGACCCTTGATGGGCAGGAGGCCCCTTCTGGATGTGAGGCACCTTCTCACAGGAGGCCCTATCTGGGCAGGAATCAAGAGGCCCCCTCTGGCAGGAGATCCTTCATGGGCAGGAGGCCCCCGAGGCACCCTCTGCACAGGAGGCCCCCTCTGGTAAGCGACCCTTGATGGGCAGGAGGCCCCGTCTGGCAGGGGACCTTTTATGCACAGGAGGCCCCTTCTGGATTTGAGGCACCTCTCACAAGAGGCCCTATCTGGGCAGGAATCAAGAGGCCCCCTCTGGCAGGAGATCATTCATGAGCAGGAGGCCCCCGAGGCTCGCTCTTCACAGGAGGCCGTTTCTGGACAGGAGCAGGAGGCCCCCTCTGGCAGGAAAGCCTTTATAGGCAGGAGGCCCCTCTGGCAGGACACCTTTTCTGCTTAGTAGGCCCCTTCTGCATGGGAGGCTCCCTTCTGCACAGATGGCCCTATCTGGGTGGGAGCCAGGAGGCCCCCTCTGGCAGGAAATCTTATACTGGGCAGGAGGCCCCGAGGTTTCCTCTACTTAGGGGCCCTTTCTGGGCCGGAGTCAGGGGGCCCCTCTGGCCTCTTGCAGGAGACCCTTTCTGGGCAGGAGGCCCTCTCTGGATGGGAGTCTCTCTCTGCATAAGAGGACATATCTTGGCAGCAGTCAGGAGGCCCCCTCTGCACAAAATGTCCTATCTGGGTAGGAGCCAGGAGGCCCCCTCTGGCAGGAGATCCTATATGGGCAGGAGGCCCCGAGACTCCCTCTGCACAGGAGGCCCTTTGTGGGCAGGAGCCAGGAGGCCCCCTCTGGCAGGAGACCCTTTATGGGCAGGAGTCCCCTCTGGCAGAGGACCTTTTATGCTTAGGAGGCCCCTTCTGGATGGGACGCTCCCTTCTGCACAGAGGGCCCTATCTAGGCAGGAGCCAGGAGGCCCCATCTGGCAGGAGCTCCTTTATGGGCAGGAGACCCCGAGGCTTCCTCTGCACAGGGGCCCTTTCTGGGCAGGAGTCAGGAGGCCCCTCTGGCCTCTTGAACGAGACCCTCTATGCCCTCTCCTGATGGAAGGCTCCCTCTGCACAAGAGGCCCCTTCTGGCAGGACTCTCTCTGGATCCCCTCTGGAAGGAGACCGTCTCTGGGAAAGAGGCCATCTCTGGATAGGAGGCCCCTCTTCACAAGAGGTCCTATCCTGGCAGCGCCTCGCCCTGGCAGGGCATTTTTCATAACGCGGCCTGGCAGAGGGGGGGGGGGGGTCGATGCGACCCCCCTCGCGATTGGATCCTATGGCACCTAGAAATACCAAATTTGGTAGGTAGGTGGCCCTCTTAAAATCCTCGTCCCTGTGCAAATTTGGTTGCTCTAGGTCAATATTTAGGGGTTTTTGGGAGGTATAATTGTAAAAAATTTGCTAAAACAGGTCAAAAGTTTTCGCTGATAACTTTTGATCTAATTAACCCGCGCCGGGCAGGTGCTCCGCGACTTCCGCGCCGGGCCGGGGGGGGGTGTCTGAAAACCCCCCTTCTAACTCGGCTCCTGGGTCACGTAGCGACACGCGGTAAGCGGCATTCAAAAGAGCGTCCAAAATAAGTACGAAAACACTTCAGTCATTTTTTGGGTCAGGTCAAAGGTCAGGTTACCAGAGGTCACCAAAGGTAAAATGTTGGCTATTTCAACATTTTGGAAACTGCCAACGGCTAACTCGGGAACCGATAGAGCTACAGCGCCGCGGAAAAGCGCATTCGATAGCTCTTTTGACGCTCTTTCGCCAATATGTCCTCAGATTTGACCTCAGGTCAACGGTTTAGCCTCCAGAGGGCAAAAACTCCAAAAATAGCCGTTTTTTACGAACAGTGTTTTTCGGCAATAACTTCTGACTCAAAAAAGCCACGACATTACTTTTGCCAGAATCGTGTTCCTCTTGTCAAAACGCGTCGAATGAACTATAAGTTGACCTTGAAAAGTCAACTTAAAAATTTGACCTCAGGACCTGACCGGAAAAGGTCATGTTGCATGTCAGTCGATCCGCATCGTCGAGCCGAACACATCTAAGGCGTTTTCATCGCTCTATCATGCCTCTATCAGAAGTTATTAGCAAAAAACTGTTAGATACTATTCGTGACCTGAGATGACCTCGGGGACATCTCAGAACGAGGGGTCACACTCCGGGTCACAGGTGCAATTTTCGGGTTCAGTGTGTCCATTTTACCTACATCCCGATGTTTGAGAGTGTCTAGAATGGCGTTCGTGCAAAACAGACGCCTTTCAATTTTCTCCCATTGAATTATAATAGAGAGGCCGCAAAATTGACCTGACCTTAGGTCACCGATATCGAAATTCCGAGATACACGTTTAATAGGTTTTTATACACGCTTTTATAGGATACACGAGATACACTGTTACTCTCATCAATCGCTGAAAGTTTCAAGGCAATCGTGCGGTCGGTGTAGCCATGACGAACATTCTAATTTGTTTCTGACCTGACCTTGAGAGACCTGGGTCTGAAATTTTCACAGCATGTGCGGAAAAGATGCACGAACAGGTGTGTTAAAAACGGCGGCGCGGAGCTGCGAAAAGCCGCCGGGGGGGGGGGGGGTGTGTGTTCAAACACCCCCCGGCCCGGCGCGGGTTAAGATAGAGCAAAACAAAAGCACCAGTGAACTCAGCACGTCAAGGCGTGTCGAATGATATACTTTTTTTGTTTGCTTAAGTGTACTTAAAAGTGTAGGTATTAAAGTGTACTTAAGTGCACAACTTAAGTAAAACTTAAGTCTTAGGAATGGTTGAAATGCTTAATGTTGCATAATTCGACTCAGCTGTTCAAGAGGAACAGAATGATACCATTTTGAAACCTGTTCTATTATGTGACAAGTTATCGGCACAAACGTCATTTGACCTGAGTTGACCTCATTTGACCTGAACCTTAGATAAGTACACCAAACAAAGAAACACCGAGTGATATTATGTTAAGTACTGTGGTATCAAAGAACAAAAGGGATACAACGAAGCGGACATCTCTATATTTTCCGAATAGGAGTTATTTGAATATTTTCACATAGGCTTAACATTACGACGTAATGACCCCTAACTGACCTCAGGTCAGTGACATAAAAAACGAACTACATATTATACAGCTCGGTGAACTTAGCACATCCTGAAAGTTTGAAGGAAATCAGTCCAAAACTGTGCGTTGGACAGGTACATAAAAAATTAAATTTGACCATAACCTTGTACCCGTTTTTCTGACATGGTGGCCTGACCCAAGGTCGACCGGACCTGAAATTTGCAGATCACATGAAAAAAGGTTGCCCCATAGGTTGTGCCAAATTTAGCGGCGTTGCGCGCCGCCAATTTTACGCTATCTTTGAAAAACCTTAGGGGGGGGGGGTCGCATCGACCCCCCTGCCAGGGTGAGGGTTAAGCTTTACTAATAACGCTAAGAACGTCACCAAACATACAGAGGCCGTCAAAAAGTAAGCCATTTGGAGGCCCCCTCGATAGAGAAAAGGCCCCCTGGCAAGCGGAACACGGAGGCCCCTTTGAGCCCGGGCCCCCTCCCCTGGAAAATCCTGGGTGCGCCCCTGCCGGGACGGGAGCCTGACGAGCCGCCGCGCGGCTAGCAGCCCTATCAGATGGCTGTACTCAGGACAGACAGCTACTGTCACACCATAGAGCCATTGATATGGAGATTATTTTAATGGCAATTTAATTAGGACGGCGTCGTTTTTCTTACTAAATCCAAGTCGTTTCTTTTACATTCAAGTTGTCGTCAATGTCGGCACTCCTGGTCACGTGATAATGGGTGGCGGCGTAGAAAAAATGTTTGCATTATGCATGTGTCATGTTCAGCTGTACGATCTCGAAACACTTGGTCGGTGCCTAATTGATGTGAAGATTTAACAATGCACCTAAAAGAAGTAAAAAACAAGAATAGGTATTTGAAGCTCCGGATAGTCGATGAACACTGTGGGGGGGGGGGGGGTCCCGGGCCCCAGCGGGGCCCGGGGGATGTGTTGTGAAGGGGTGTGAAGGTGTCCAGTGTTCAATGGACATTGGGCACCTTCGATATCTTTTTCAGTAAAACATGTCATCTGGAGTTCGGAAATAGGCTTCCGGAGGCTGGCTAGAACGCAGCGTTTTACGCCTCTCCCATCCTTCCCGAGTCGCAGTTCGTGGATCGTTGTCGCTTTCTGCGCGCTATCCATCGGATCGATAGCCTTCCAGTTCCGCAGTTCACATCAGTCTGACGCCACGAGCAACTTCTACTGCGCCTCCCTGAGGAAGGCTCCGGCCGGCCGAGGGAGCCGTCCCAGCGCCGCGCCGGAGCCGTCCCAGCGCCGCGCCGGAGCCGTCCCAGCGCCGCGCCGGAGCCGTCCCAGCGCCGCGCCGGAGCCGTCCCAGCGCCGCGCCGGAGCCGTCCCAGCGCCGCGCCGGAGCCGTCCCAGCGCCGCGCCGGAGCCGTCCCAGCGCCGCGCCGGAGCCGTCCCAGCGCCGCGCCGGAGCCGTCCCAGCGCCGCGCCGGAGCCGTCCCAGCGCCGCGCCGGAGCCGTCCCAGCGCCGCGCCGGAGCCGTCCCAGCGCCGCGCCGGAGCCGTCCCAGCGCCGCGCCGGAGCCGTCCCAGCGCCGCGCCGGAGCCGTCCCAGCGCCGCGCCGGAGCCGTCCCAGCGCCGCGCCGGAGCCGTCCCAGCGCCGCGCCGGAGCCGTCCCAGCGCCGCGCCGGAGCCGTCCCAGCGCCGCGCCGGAGCCGTCCCAGCGCCGCGCCGGAGCCGTCCCAGCGCCGCGCCGGAGCCGTCCCAGCGCCGCGCCGGAGCCGTCCCAGCGCCGCGCCGGAGCCGTCCCAGCGCCGCTCCGGAGCCGTCCTACTCTACCCTCACGCCACCCATTGCATCATTTAATATTCATAACCTTCCGAAACGGGTGAATAGTTCTCTGCTCACCCCGGCTAGCCGGCTATCCAGTTATCTTCGTTTTGCAGAGGGCTGGCCCGCCGGCGCCAGTAGTAAAGGTGAATGCAAATGACGCGCCGTGAAATGGTGGCGGCTCTTCTGACAGTGCCGCCGCCCGGGCCGCTCAAAAGAGCCACTGTCGGCTCGTCACAAAGAGTCTGTCACCGACCTGGTCGGCCCAGAAACGGCGGCGCGTGATCGGAATTCGATCGGACTCACGCCCGGCGCAGAGCTGGCTCTCCGTCCATTGATAGAGGGGAGAGAGCCCGTTTCTAGTAAGCTGGAAAAGTGGGGATGATTTCGTGTTTACTAGACGTGCTCACTTTCGCTTACTTTATATTTTGGCCATGTCTGGTGGGTGACGCAGAAGCTTGCCTGAATGCTCCCTGATGGTGCAGCAAAAGATCAATAGACGATGTTTGAACAGGAATTCTGTCAGTCATGGCGCGGAAGTTTGTGAGCGGCTGTGCCGTATGATAATGAAAGTCATCCAAAGCTTTATGTTTCTCTTGCATCGAATATTTACGTCTAACCTCTTATCAGAAGTTGCAATCAAAATACCTCTTTTAACACTGAAAAAAGCGCGCGTAATCACGAAATGATACCGTTAGGTATAAAAGTTATTTTTTGTTTCCACACGTCAGGTAACATGGTTGTCTGTCATCAAAAAGTGAATCAATTTCGGCTCATTATAAGTATCAATTCTTTTTGCTGTTAGCAGTTCAACGTGAGATCCCCGGCTCAGTTGAATTTTTTACATTTCCAGCCTTTTCCGAACAAATGTCAGGTTCCCATTTCTCGTCACCCTAAAGTCCGATTCGCTGATCCATCACACGTTGTTTTGATGTCGGCCGATTTCCCTCATGATGTAAGTGTCACAAGAATGTCCCATTGGCGGCACTCGGCGTGGACCGTTAGTTTTGGGCGCTGGGACCGTCCCCGGCTCTGCCCCCCGGGTGGTCGGGTCTGTCCCCCGCCAGGTCGGGCCCACCTCCTCGCATGCCTCAGCACCTCCTTCTTCATCTGCTGGCCCTCTGATCTCGAGCCGTCCGGCGTCTCCCGTCCGCTCACCTGCCCCCCCCCCTGGACCCCGACCCCCTCCCCGGACCCCAGCGGACACCTCTCACACGGTCCGATACCTGCGTGGGGCGCCCGCTGTGACCCTCTGTCCCACCCTGTCGCCCCGCGTCCCCAGCCGGCCGACCATGTTCCGCGCCCATGTCCCGCTCCCCGGCCCCGCAAACAGGCGCCGGCGAATCAAAGGCCCGACCCTGTCCCCTACCGGTGCCCACGGCGCTCATCACAATACCTGGCGGGGGACCCTACACCTCACCTCGAGAGGGACTTCCGGACCGGGGAGAGCGGCGGGCCAGCCTCAGGCCAGCCCCGGGGCGGCGGTGGGTCTCCCCTCCTCGGCCCCCGCGCGCCGCCGTTCAGCCGCCGCCGCCGCGCCGACCGCGGTGGGCAGCCGGCCGCCGCCTCCGGCCCGGTCAGTCTCGCGCAGAAGGTCGACGGGTGAGGTGGTGCCGAGCTGTCTCGTAGGAAGCGCCGAGCGTGACCGAGCAGCGCCGAGTGATACCCCAGGGAATCGAGAGGAGACAGACACGCGGAGGACAGGAGAATTACCGCACGTGGCCGCTGAGGGAGATCAGACTAAGGTGAGAGCGACCGAGGAATTTGGGCAGGAATGGCCGCACATTCTGGGGTTTTGCTCAGAACTGGGACCCTATAATATTCTTTCAGCTAGGTAATGGCTAGCTATTAGCCCAGAACAGCCGCTATAAGAAATTTGCTTTCTTTGAGGAACGCTGCAGAAATGGCTTCCCGAACGCAGCCGTTGTAGGGATAGTTGAGTTCTTGTGAAACTGTTACATGGCGATGACCGATGCATAATGATTGGGTGGTTCTACATTACTTGCCGCCGATTGTATACCTACACTGTCCAGTTCAGCAGACACGTTTGCCTACTTTCACTAGGAATGCACACGTTTCCACAGTAAACACCGTGACATGCAGCTACATTAGAAAATACGTCATCGAAACGTCGGAGGAATATTCTGAGCCAGTTTCGAGGAATGTGCAAATGTTACATCATCGATAGACATGCCAGAGCTCACTGCTCACTACCCGTAAATACGTCTCGATGATTCTTCGTAAACTAGTGAACGATTATCGGCTGACACAGGCTGTGGAATGCCAACTAATTTATGAAAGCCACGTGCTCATGACCGTTTTTGCAGCAAAACTCATGAATTTGCTCGTAAATAATGAGGGACGGGCATGACGACCCCTGCTAACGCTACTGCGTTGAACGGGAGGCCCCTTCTCCCTAAAAACAGAAAACACCACCGAATCATAGTCTGACGAGTAATTATATCCGTACCGGGGCTAAATTCGGAATTCCTTCAACAAAAAAGGAACAACACGTGGAAACTTTGAGTTAGTGCTGATTGGACTGTCATATAAACAATGGAGGAACATGGTAAAGTCGATAAGTCATTAACATTTTATACTATGAGCGGGAGCAAGTAAAGTAAACTTTGACCGTGGATCATATTATATTGCTACTGTAGTTAACTTTTATTTCATATCTTATTCAATAAGACCTTGTAGAATGTATGTAGGCATCTACTTTTAGAAATCAGTTGATTCCGTACCAATAAGATCGCTCATGGGGAGAAATGTTGCCAAAATAACAGTACCTACATTGGCTCCAGGGATAGCAGTCGCGGTGACAAGTTTACTCACGTATTCACTGTAACGTTATATTGTTCCGATAATGTATTTGGTCACTAAGGCACCTTTTGGCTATCCACATACCCTATGTACAGAATAAAGTCAGCATAAGGTCACCATAAAAGTAGCATAAAGTCAGGCCAGCTGTGTGTAAATTAACGACCGATACCCCCGAACCCGATTACGATACGCTGACGAAGCTTTGTAATACAATTCGAAAGCTCCGACCCGAACGATTTCTTGTGGAGTAGGTAAAGTCCTCATTCAGTTATTACATTTTTTTCGTTTGTTACTCCTATATTCGTATATTACTATATACATTCAAACAACTGCAAATAAGGTGGGCTGATTAGAGGACGGCCAAGGATATCTCCCACCCCTGCACATTTTGTGACTGCATTGGGAGTAATTGATGCCGAGCGCGCCTATTACGCCTACCTATGTCAGCAAATGGAGCACATGGAGCCGATTTAGAGCGGAGATTACAGCTGTCATTCTACGGCGCGCCCGGTTAGCTGACGTGAGACCGCAGTCCCCACTGCAGGTATTGCTGAGTCCCTGCAGGGTATGATGAATGGCAGCCGTCGCAAAGAACGGATGAGCTGACATACTCGTAACGCTTATCGCCTCACCGGTAACGTTCGGACGTTTACATCAGGTGACGCTTCCGCTACCAAAACCCGTTGTTGCTAGGGTGGACGTCTTAGCGAGCTTATCGGGGTCTAGCTTCGTCTCTGCGTCAGGTAACCCTACCCGCGCCGGGAGTAGTGCGCTCTGCAGAGCCGCAGAAGGCTGACACTTCGGGCGCAATCTGCCGCAGCTTGCATTTCAATTTATGTCCCGTGCTTATATCAGGACGATGAGCTTGATCGCTGCGGCCGTCCGCTGCAACGGGCGTAGCTGCCGGAGGAAACGCAGCTTCAGTGGTGAACGGGACGGCCGGGCATTGTTGTCGGAGGAAACAGAGCTTTATTGGTGAACGGCTCGGCGCTGGCAGCGCTCTCCGTCTGGCCCGCCAACACCTCCCGTGAACGGGGTATCACCTGCGGTTTACGATCAGCCCCGCCGTGTTACGCATCACAGCCACTGACGCCGGCTTCCGGGCGGCAAACAAAACTCTGTCCGGCGTAAAATGATGATCCGCGTGTCTGGCCAGCGCGGCGGCCCGGGCGGGGCGAAACTCAGTGTTACCAGTGTGAAAATGAGCGGGTTGGTGACTAATCACCCAATTTTCCACCGATGCAGCCGTGCCTGTTTATCACCGCAATCGGACGAGAATGCGATTTGCTGTCGCTGAGCGAATCTGCCCGAAAGTTACGCGCTCCATCTGTCGGCTCTTTGCCGTTCCTACGTCTACCAGAGAGAACATCGCTATTACATTTGTTGGAAGGAAAGGCAACTGTCGCAACTGTGGTACCGAGCGTCGCAGTATTAGCATCGCCCTGCGCGCTGCGCGTTTTACTCCCCTCGCGCAGCTGCGAGGGACCTTGGCGTTACACTCTCGCCCCTCTGCACTGATGGAGGGCGCCTGATGAGATCACACCGTCCCTCGCACAGCGCCGCGCCGGCCATCACCTGCAATCGGATGGGATGAACGTGTTGAACATCAGTTTGTCGAGTGTAGCGAACGGGCCGAGCGGCGGGCCGGCGCGCGCTGTTTCTCAGGGGCTGAACCGGCGCAAGGTCGGGCTCGTCAAAACGGTACCTGCTGAATCAATGTAAGCCGAAAAGGTCCGAGTTACGGCAGACAGTGTGTGCCATAAATGGTGAGACATGGCGCCGTGGCAGTAACGGTCTCTGACAGAAAAAGATCGGTCATTCATGCCTGGTGCTGACGCCGTGAATTGTGGAGGATTTAAGTCTTACAGAATCTTGCTGTGGTTTGTCGGTTGTCAGAACATTATTAGGGATGACATCAGGAGTGATTGATTATGCTGCTAAAACATTTACATTGAACGATGCTATGTTCGTTTCAATTCCAATCGTCGCATTGCACAGCGCATGTCGCACGCATATCGCATTATTTTTGCATTCTCGGCATAACGTCCAATGTGAGACTCATTTCACATGCTGAGACTGGAGGTAATTATCGTCGATACCGAAGTCGAAACTGAGCTAGCTATTTCCCCGTCTGTGGGTATCGACCACATTCCAAGTCAGCTTTATATCACCCAAAAGACAGCCAAACAGACAGAACGAACCAAATGTCAATCTGTGGGCGTATCTGTGAAAGAACTTAATGCATTATCCACACAATAGTGATCTCTCCATTATTCCCTTATCTTTGTCGTTTGGCTGTGGGCGTGCGTGGGTAGGACAGCGGATGTCATAACGAAGTAGACTCGGCTGGGCACACAAAGAGGAGCTGCGAGGCGTCTCGGTGGCGCCTCGGCACGGAGCGTTTCCTGGGTGTCCCTCCTGGTGACCGCCGCCGCCGCCGCCGCCGCCGCCCTGGCAGCGGCGGCGGCGGCGGCGGCGGCGGCGGCGGAGCGTAAAGTGCAGCTGCTGTCGCTCGCCGCCCGCAGCCGACGTCCTGGATAAACTACCGGGCGGTTTTGTATACGTGCGCCGGTGGGCCAGTGACCCGTGTCAGCGTGTCAGTCTCTCGCTGTCTGCCCCGTGACGTTCAGGCAATCAGCTAAGATCGGGAGGGTGAAAGCCTAGTCAGGACAGTATGACAGCATATCTATTTGTGCCCCGGATAAAGTCTGTTGAAGATAAGATCCACTATTATTCATCTAACTATAGTATCGATTTCGGCGGCGCACTGCGCACATCAGGCACCACAATCGTTCAATCAACATCACATCCAAACGACCAATCTCGGCCGTCACCTTATACGTTTATCACAGCCGCTGACAGTTCACTGCAACATAAATACGGCCAATGAGGCTGCCGTACGCTCAGTATGCCCACCGGCGTCGGCGCGGTCCTCGTGCGAACCTCCGCTCTCCCGGTGTGTGACCGCCGACGTTGTCCTGTTTCAGGCTGTGAGGACGTCAGCTGATGGCCGGCGGGTGACGTCGAGCTAACGCCATGACCAGCTCCACGCTTGAGCTCATCAGTCCGCGGCCGTACTACACCACTCAGGTGAGAATCCGATCGCGCGGCTCTCACCTCTCACCACGCGGCTCTCACCGCACCAGCCAGCCCACACGTGGGCTGTTAGGGTTGAGTTTGACAGGAGACCACCCAGCCTTGGCGTTTTGGTGCGCTAAGGACCTTGCGTGCTGACAGGTCATGGCAGTATTTTCGTGTTTTATTGGTCCATCATTTTCGTCAATAGTCGCCGACGGGCATGATTGCATGTGATATGCTGATTCGATGCGTGGTAAAATATGAGTTAACGGAGCGTTAAACTGGGTATCAATAGCTACCACACCGTGTATTGCTTTACAGCTGCTTAGTTTGGAGATGTGATACGGAATGTATCCTTATTTTATACATAAGGCTTTCTACGCTTATGGCCTCACAACCGTTAAAAACTGATTTTTATTACACCCAGTTTGCGGTGCTCTTTTCCGCTCGATCGCTGGCACCCTGTTAACGGAAATTATTAGTGAGGATAAAGCTGAGACTTATTTCTCATTTTCATCGATAATATATGTAGGTAGGTATATTTTTTTTGTCTTCGAAATCGTTAGTGCTCCAAACGTTAAAAGCGTTATCGCACGAAGTATGAGCCACTTGTTGCTTAGAAAGGCCCTGTCTCATGAATATGTTCCACTGCACCTGCTCCGAATTCATAGCCACTGTCTCACCACACCTCTCTCTTCTCGGCAGGTTCTGGCCTCCCTGGCAGTGGCCATGGGTCAGCTGGCGGTCGGCCTCGGCAAGGGGTACAGCTCGCCGGCTCTCCAGTCGCTGGCCGGAGCGCGCGAGCACGGTGGGCTGGCCATCAGCGCGCAGCAGGGCTCCTGGGTGGCCAGTCTGTCGCTGCTGGGCGCGCTGGTGGGCGGCCTGCCCAGCGGCCTGGCGCTGCGGCTCGGCCGGCGCCGGCTGCTGGCCGCCGTCAGCGTGCCGTTCGCCGCCGCCTGGTGGCTGGCCGCCGGCGCCGGCTCCGTCTGGGAGCTGTACGCGGCCGCCTTCATCAGCGGCGTCTGCTCCTCGGTGGTGGCCGTCGTGACGCCCGTCTACGTCAGCGAGATCGCGCAGCCGGCCGTGCGCGGCAGCCTCTGCTCGCTGACCAAGGTGGCGACCAGCGTGGGCCTGCTGCTCAGCTACAGTCTGGGCGTGGCGCTCGACTGGCGCCGGCTGGCCATGGTCGCCTCCGCCGGGCCTCTGCTGCTGCTGCTCGGCTGCTGCTGCGTGCCAGAGACGCCCAGCTTCCTCATGTTCCGCGGCCGGGACCGCGAGGCGCGCGCGGCGCTCCAGTGGCTGCGCGGCCCCTCGGCAGACATCAGCTCCGAGCACGACGTCATGCGCGCCAACATCGTCTACATCAAGCAGGAGCAGCCGTCGTGCGGAGACGCCTCCCCGGAGCAGTGGCGCGCGCTGGTGCGGCCCGTGCTCGTTACCACCGGCCTCATGTTCCTGCAGAAATTCTCCGGAGTGCACGCGTTCAGCTTCTACGGCGTCACCATCCTGGACAAAGTGCTGGCGCGAGCGAGCGCGCAGGGCGCCGCGGCCGTGGTGGCCCTGCTGCAGATCCTGGCCGGGCTGACGTCCAGCGTGTTGATCGACACGGTCGGCCGCCGGCCGCTGCTGATGGTCAGCAGCGCGCTCATGTCCGTTTCGCTGGCCGGTTTCGGCACGTTCGTGTACGTGGTGGAGCGGCTGGAGTGGACGTCGGCCCAGCAGGCGCCGTTCGACTGGGTGCCCATGTCGTGTGTGCTCGTCTGTCAGGTGGCGTTCGCGCTCGGCGTCGGCCCGATCTCGTGGCTGCTGATCGGGGAGCTGTTCCCGCTGCGGCAGCGCGGCCTCGGCGCGCTGGCGGCGTCCGTCAGCTACGGCTGCGCGTTCGTCAGCGTGAAGACGTTCGTGGACCTGGAGCGGTGGCTCGGCCTTTGCGGGGTGTTCTGGTTATACGCGGTGGTGTCGCTCTTCTGCCTGGCGTTCGTCCTGGTGTTTGTGCCCGAGACCAAGGGACGCGAACTGGAGGAGATGGAGGAGAGGACAAGGTTCGTGTAGTGAACCCCTTAGGAAATGACGCACAGAACTACGCTCGTGTGGTGAACCACTCCAGTATTTGGCGGAGAGACACTTTTGTGCTGTGCCAGGCGGCATGGGTTACCGACGCCACGCGAGCCACGCCTGTTGTTTGAACCGCTGCGGATATTTTATTGCCCGTTATGACATGGGACCGCCGCCAATCGGTGTGATGTGTGATATGTGATCGCCGCATGTCGCCGGTGTCGATGTGACCGCTCGTTGATGCGGGTCTCCGTCGGTGACTGCCTCGATGTGACTCAGAATCTGCACTGCCAGTGTCAGGGCAGAGGGTGACGATTGCGGGTACCGTCGTCTACCTCGCTCTCTCGCCGTGGCCGCGTATTTATTGTCCTGTCTGTGCGTGATCTTGTGCCAGTAGATTTTAGACGCCCATTGAGGTCTTCTGAGGACTTTGAGGCGTACCATCCTACTCCTGTGTTCCTCGTCTGCTGAGCTGCAGCAGTGTCATGTTGATCTCATTTTATATATCCATTTCATCCCTTTTTGAGTGTATCATCTTCAAGTAATGATGAATGTGATGTCACCTGTTTACAAATATATCACGCCTCGTAACATCGATTGTTTTTTTTTCTCTAAAAACAAACACGATTCGCGAATCGGTGTGGGGCCACTGTAGTGAACATGGACCTGAACAGCATATTGGAAGGGAATGTGTGTAAGGAGTTGACTTATTGTCAGGAAACAATGTTTTTTTTGTGTCACTTTGTGCTTGGCAAATCACATCACGAGTCTGCCTGGTCTTTGGTAGCCTCATTTCAACCCGCACGGAACGTTAACGGAGAAGCCACAAGTCAATAATTTAGACCAACCACTAAACGACGTCTCCAGTCAAAACTAGAAACAATCCACTCCTCCAAGCAGGCCTACTGGCCACTGGGGTCAGCAATCGGGGTCAAGGTCAGAGACGTGTCGCAGTGTGGGCCAATCAGCGTTCGAGTCCGCTCGCTCAGTAACTGTATGAGACAGCGCATAGACTGTTTTGTTTTGTTGAAGCGGCCAGGTCACGCTCTGCGCTACTTTTTTAGCGGCAGCTGAAGTTTTATGTGTGAAGTGCATTCGAATACATTGCTTATTTCACATAATTAGGCGCGAAAGTGTACCGGGTGGCCCAGAAAAAACGTTCCCAATTTTAAATCAATATTTCTCAGAAAGTGATAAAGATACAACATTGAAACTTCCAATAGTCAATGCGGCATATATTTTCAGCAAATGGTATGAATTTTTATGTTATTCGGTTGATTGCTTTTTAAACGGTTCGTGTTTCTAGCATGTCATGTAAAAATCACTTTTTTGCTCAGATGTTTACTAAAAATGTGAGTGAACAGGCCACTTCCATCTCGGCACCACGGCCTGCAGCCATGACTGCTACTGGCAACTAGCCTCATTGATGGTTCAGGCCTCAGGGTGACACATTCCCTGTCGCTTTTTTCCTTTTTCGGTCGATTTACTATTTGATCTTCTTGAAGGGAGGGCGATCAGCAGTAGCCCATGCACCGTGCCGCTCCTTCTCTTCAAACCAGGACTAGTGTTGAAATGAGTGACATCCATTAAAGCAATTTTGGCTTAGCATTTGAATATTTGGCACATAAGTGGGATAAAAATATTTAGAATAACAGCACACGTGCTGTTATCATTCACGTGTTCTATTTTTCTATTTTTATTCGAACATGGTACGTCTAAGCCAATCATTACTACCGTTCAACAACGGCAAAAAAAGCAAAAACGTCTTACTTAATTCAACATAAGATTGCTGGCTTGAAAATGATGGTACAGTGTTATAATTTGGCATACCAATGCGCAAAGAAGTGACGCAAAGTTGATGAAAATTTTGGCTCGTTATTTGCACTCGAATTTGAGATATAGGCCTCCAAAGTTCGGAACGTTTTTTTTGGGCCACCCGGTATAATGTGTGGCAGCAACAGTGATAGGTCTGTGACATTATACAAACGCGCTACAAGCATATCGATCCATCTTGGTAACGGCTCGTAGGCTGTGTGATAAAAAAGAAACAGTGAAACGAAAAGATCGTGGGCTGCTGTAGTGAACATAGACCTGACAGCTCTTCGAACGGATCACCAGCAACAGCTCTCACGTCGCCTGATCAATTTAATGAGCTTGCCGATGTCCGTGCAACCATCAACCATCAACTTCTCAGAGCATCTATAGAAGGGATGTGGTCACTGCCTCCTAAAACTGCCCAGTCCTCGTTTGATACTCGAAGAACCTCGGCTGGCAAGTGGCATGCCACGTATTCCACATGTTACGGTTTTTGTAGCACGTAACCTGTTAGTTGTTACGTGGTATATTCCACATATTATACACAAATAGCGAAAGAGCCATATCATGAACCGGAGCTGATAGCTACAGATCAATTATTCAATTTTTCATTAACCCGGCCGGGCCCGGATGTGTCGAGGTCAACCAAAGGTCATTCGAGGTCACAGGAAGTCAACATAAAAGTTGACTTTTTCCAAACAAAATATATATCATTCGACGCGGCTTGACAAGGCGAATGTACCACTGCCGTAGCTCAAGGACCATTTTGTCGAACTTATTTGTGAAAAACTAAAACCACAGCTCGGGGTCGTTGGCCTGACCTCTGACCTAAGGTCATCAAAAATATTTTTCTATTTTTTTTTTCTCTAGGTCAAACGCTACACAACCGTGCTCGTAATTTGTCTTTATCTCTAAAAGTCTATTTTTAGCAGCTATTTGAAGTTCGCGTCTGTGACGCCGAAGTTTGCCGTGCAGGGGTCTAGAAAAATCGACCCTGTGACGTCATCAATGGGGCTAGGTCCAATTTTTTTTTACTTCAGAAGATGTCAAATTGATGGGAGAAAATGTACTGAAAGTTTCGCTTTCCTATCTTTCGGGAGCTATCGCAAATATTCGCCAGGGGGGGGGGGGGGCGAAAAACGCCCTCCCCCCGGGCCCGCGAGGGTTAAAGGAGGAAAAGTTAATAGAGAATACGTACTGCGATGTGTATGGTGACTTCCGAGATTGGAACATAAACCAATGATTTAGTAGCATGCCAATGCATTTTCCTAAAGTGATAAGTGATACGTGCCCTTCTAAGAAATATCTTACGTGTATTACGTTGCGCTAGGGAGACCTAGTTGTGTTTATTTGGTTTTGCATTTTCAACTAAATGTCACACACTATAAGGTGCAAATCTTAGAAATAAATCAGAACACTCGAAAGTCATCAAATTTATTACAAATAATTCCCTTCTTTCTTTTCTAACAGACGAGAAAATACAGCTCTCTGGAATGTCGGTTCCTGCTAAGTAACATGCGATAAGTCTTGCAATATCTTACGACCGCTAAGAAGTCTTAACCAAGACTACATACTAGATTAGCTAATACGAGCTTGGTATCCACGCCTTATGAGTGCACAGGTTAACCATTGTGGTTACGGGAACTAACTTCTTGTTACTATCGTCATATGATCGGATCATTTGATATGCTGATGAGTGATGATGGTCTCAATGGAAGGTATGCGCTTATGATGCCTCTGAGTTATTACGAGATAACTGTCGGCTTCAAGAAGTTAGGCTTACACTTGTTCCGCAAGTATTCCTACAAGTATGAAGTTATGAGTGAGTCATATTTGGGCATAGTAATACGAATTCCAGCATCCTTTATGCGCTTGATCGGTTTCGCTTATTATGTACGAGTAGCAATGCAGAAGTCAGCCGATAAATGTAGGTATGTTTTCTTTAGGCATCCGTTGCACTGAAACAAGACGCAGCTCGTTTTGACAAGTCAAACAAAGAGCAGAATTACGCCCGCCACCTCGCGCTTGAAGAGTATGTAATGTATGCCCATTGCACATACTATAGCCACAGATTTAGCATGGGGAAGATACATCAGCTAGGTGAGCTTCCATATTCCACACATTTGCACATCAGAAACGCTTAAGGCCGTTTATGGTGCATGCTCACCGTTTTCTGATCTTGAAAAGCTGTATATCATTGCAACGCAGTTTCGATAAGGTGATGATTTATGCATAACCAGATTAAATCGTGGGATAGAACCGTTTTACAAGTGCAAAACGGCTTCCATATGTGCGTAAAGAGCGCCACCTCTGAATTTCAGGTTGGTGGCATGTCTTCCCGGTCTGTTCGACAAACGTGCTGATAGTTGATACTATTCATCGCTGATCAGTGAAGAATTTCCTGCATTCCACATAAGGTACCTGTTGGACGTTTATAGCCACTTCAAAGCCATTGAGGGCTTCGGCGCTTACGGATCGCATCGAATTTCTTGTCCATAAAAACATTAACTAGGACCAACATCGTGACGAACGGTGAATTGCAAAAAATACAATGTGCCACAAAGCTACAGTCGCCTTGTCGCTTGTGGCCTGCTACTTATTTAAGGGATTATACGACACCTATGGCTCAATACCGTGCAATGAATGTACAAAATTATGCACCTCCTATCCCATCGAACGAATGGAACGTAAAAATGATGACCATTGATAGGCAGCCCATGTCTCATCAGTCTGCTGTGCGATAACCGTTTCTAATCAGAGATTCATGCATCCTTAGCAGCTGTGATCCACCACTGTGCCCAAAATCAGATCCCGGGCACAAATCTCCCCCGCCCACCATCTGTGCCTTAGCGCCCGTACATTGCCGCCGGTGCCGTCCCCCAATCCATCTCCCAACCGATAAGGGCGCTGGGGGTAGCGTCTGACCTGATATACATAATGGGGCTGGACAGTGCCAGCAGGACTGTCCTGACTGATGGCTCCTGCCGGCCGGTGGATAAACGGCGGGACCGGGGTGTGCTTCTCTATACACACAGCCCGCCAGACGCCGCACGGCCAGTGACTGCCGGTGTTTAGGCGGCGGGCGGGACGATGGTCAATAAACCGAGCGGGATAATTACTCATTGGTAACCGCCAGCCGTGATACATTTCAGCACTGCGCCGCGACGATAGGCTGTGTGCAGGATCAGTCACCCGATCTGGCCTTGCAATTAATTTATTTGAATCGGAAGGTTTTGGATTGAAGAAAAAATGGCAGAGACTTGAAGTGAACGGGAGCTAAGAGCGGAAAAATAAAACGATTTTTTAAACATAAAACGTGGCAAAAGAAACGATACCCATCACATATATCTGTGAAAACATTTTATCATAACTGACACGACTGAATAGTGCAGAAAAAAGCAGCTTTGTGGAATAAATATATTGCCATCGTGCTTTATTATGCATCATTGACAGTCTATTATGACGTCTCAAAGTTTGACGATCATTTGCTAGGATACGGGATACTCGTCTTTGAATTTCCGCTATTTGGAGACTTCCTGGCCAGCGTTTGCATATTTGGTAGTTTCCTGTCATAGAATGGCATATTTACGGAAACTCACATTACGGCTTTGTAAACATAGTAGCATTTTATCCATAAATAGCATCGTCACTGTAGCAAATCCACCTCTTCTTTGTAAACTCTATTCACTGCTGCGTCTGCGTAAGCTCCTATTGAGCTCTATGTATTTCTGGACAGTCCAGCCCATGACCTCCCGGTATCCTCTCCATATCGGCAGCCCC